ACTTGAAATCTAGCAATTCCCCTTAGTTTTTGTGCATTTTAATATTCATGAAACCGCCTTCTCCTATGCCAAGCTGCCTGGAGATACCAACTATTATATTTGTTAGTGTTCCGCTGATAAAGTTGCACAGAGTTGAGTGATCTGCTCCAGTCCTGTTTTTCTTATAAACTCAATTACTTTTCGTGTGTATTTTTGCAGAAGTTAAGATTCTTTATGTACATGTATGTGGTATTGTAGCAGAAATACCTAATGAAACTTGATCCACTGAGAAATATCTAACCCATTCACTTGTAATAGGCTTTAATTTTAGTGCCTTTTATTTCTCTATAGACGTTTTCTTGCTCTGTAACAGAAAAAAAGTATGTGTTTGCTTTCTTGTTTTCTTCCAGATTTGGAGTCCAGATATAGAACCAATACTTTATCTCCAGAAAAGGACATTTATGAAATATATTCCTTCCAGTGGGATATAATGGAAAGAATTAAAAGCTATAGCCTTGAGGGCTCTATTTTTAGAAATGATTGGGAATGCAAAAGCAAGATTGAGGGGCAAAAAGAACCACAACAGGGATATTTTGGGGAAGTGAAAATTACCTCTGAAAAAATGGCCACTTACAAAAAACACAATTTTCTTACTGAGTATCAGATAGTTCATAATGGAGAAAAGTTATATGAATGTAAGGAATGTAGGAAAACCTTTATTCGTCGCTCAACTCTTAGTCAACACCTGAGAATTCATACTGGTGAGAAACCTTACAAGTGTAAGGAATGTGGGCAGGCCTTTAGACAGCGTGCACACCTTATTCGACATCACAAACTCCATACTGGTGAGAAACCCTATGAATGTAAGGAATGTGGGAAGGCCTTTACAGTGCTCCAAGAACTTACGCAACATCAGAGACTTCATACTGGTGAAAAACCCTATGAATGTAAGGAATGTGGGAAGGCCTTTAGAGTACATCAGCAGCTGGCTCGACATCAGAGAATTCACACTGGTGAAAAACCCTATGAATGTAAGGAGTGTGGGAAGACATTTAGACAGTGTACACACCTTACTCGACATCAGAGACTTCATACTTCTGAGAAGCTCTATGAATGTAAGGAATGTGGGAAAGCCTTTGTATGTGCTCCAGACCTTAGAGTACATCAGAAAATTCATTTTGGTGAGAAACCTTATGAATGTAAGGAATGTGGAAAGGCTTTTAGAATATGCCAACAACTTACTGTCCATCAGAGTATTCATACTGGTGAGAAACCCTATGAATGTAAGGAATGTGGGAAGACTTTTAGATTGAGACAACAACTTGTTCGCCATCAAAGAATTCACACTCGTGAGAAACCCTATGAATGTATGGAATGTTGGAAGACCTTTAGTAGTTACTCCCAACTTATTTCCCATCAGAGCATTCATATTGGTGAGAGACCCTATGAATGTGAAGAATGTGGAAAGGCTTTTAGACTGCTCTCACAACTTACTCAACATCAGAGCATTCATACTGGGGAGAAACCTTATGAATGTAAGGAATGTAGAAAACCTTTTAGACTTCTCTCACAACTTACTCAGCACCAGAGTATTCATACTGGTGAGAAACCCTATGAATGTAAGGAATGTGGTAAGGCTTTTAGACTTTACTCATTTCTTACTCAACACCAGAGAATTCATACTGGTGAGAAACCTTACAAATGTAAGGAATGTAAGAAGGCCTTTAGACAACATTCACACCTTACTCAACATCAGAAGATTCATAATGGAATTTAATACAAGAAAATTTTCAAATGTATGTTACAGAACATTAGAAAATTCATTTTTGAAAAATTTGTTGCACACTCAAAACTAAGCATAAGAAATTTTATATTAGAGAAAGAATACATTGTTTTAGAAGCCATGTATCACCATTTAAACACTTTATTTTCAGCAAACTCTTATGAAAGAATAATGTAATGAATGTAGTACAATCTTTAGCCTTATTTATTATATCCATTTCACTGCTTTATTACCAGTATATTATTAGACAAGATACTTAAACTTTTGTGCCGCATTTTGCTCACTTGTAAAGTGGTATTAATAGCACTTATGTTTTAGTTATTTATTGCTATATAATAAATTACCACAAACTTAGTAGCTTAAAAGAATATACATTTAACATCTTAAAATTTCTATGGATCAGGAGTCCAAGCATGACTTAGCTGGGTCCTCTGCTTCAGGGTCTCTCACAAGGTTACAAAGTTTTGGCTGGGTCTGGATCTCAGCTAATGTGGTTGTTGCCCAAACTTTCTTGAGGCCTGTTTCATTGGATCCTCAGTTTCTAGCTGGCTATTGGCTGAAGGCTGACTAGTTCATTGTCACAGTGGTTTCATCAGCTTGGCTATTTGCTTTATTAAGGCATACAAGCCAAGAATGCAACAGAATCTGCTGACAAGATGAAATTTACAATCTTGTGTAAACTAATTATGGAAATAATATCCCATAGCCTTTCCCATTTTCTACTAGTTAGAAATAAGTTATACTTAAGGGGATTACATGAGAGTGTGAATACCAGGAGGCAGGATCACTGGGGGCTGATTTAGAGTCAGTCTGCGTGATAGGGTTGTCGTAGGGAGTAAGTAGTTAGTAATTGAAGGAATTAACAGTCTCATAGCATGTATTCTGTAAATATTATCTGTAACCATTATTGTCATGATTAGTATTAGTGAATTCATATGAAAGAATATTCTACAGAAGTAATAAATGTATAAATGCCTCCTATTACCTCTCATAACTTATTAAACATAAAATAATTCATTCTAGGTAAAATCTAGGTTGTAGTGAATGAAAAAATTCTTTAGCACTTGAGCTGCATCAGAAATTTCATACCAAAAAGAAACCCTATGCATGTCATGAATGTGATGTTGTTAACAGTATAATTATTGAAGAATCAAGAGAAAAATATAAAATGATTTTCTCCTAATTCCAAAAAGCAAAGTTTTATAATGTCTATTGTCTGACCACATTTCAAGGTTAATTAGAGACCATGAAAAAGATGGCATAAAATAACCACATAGAGGTTAATATTGTGTGCATGTGTGTGCATCTGTAAAACTCCTGTGTGGGGCGGTGCCTGTGTCTCAAAGGAGTAGGGTGCCAGCCCCATATACTGGAGGTGGCGGGTTCAAACCCAGCCTCAGCCAAAAACTGTGTGAAAAAAAAACTCCTGTGTGAAAGAAAGAAAACTTTATGCCATTATAGTCAATATACGTTTTGATGCTCAAATTGCCCTATTTTCAATCTGTAGGAATTGTTTTTTAAGTTGTTTTTTTTTTAACATGACCTCACCAATAGTTTGATAGATTATTTGATTATGGCTGCACAATTTGGAAAGCTATGGAAGATGTTAGGGCACCAACTCGTCATTCTTAAAAATCAATAAATAAGAGGAAATTTAGCATTTATTTTCCTTTTCCCATATAAGCTAAAGTTAAGTTTCATCATCAAAATTAAATTTTTTTAAACTTAAGAAGTCCAGTAAATACAGACATAATAATAGAAAACTCATCATTTTCTATACTCTAATGGAATAATAGGTCCAGAAAACAATCTTCAATGTATACTAAAACTAGTAGGCGAAAGATCTTATAGGGAGAATTTTATGGTGGATGTACAAAGTGGACCTCTTCTAAGCCCTTTGATCAGTTTTAACCTCAATAGAAATGGGGCTGTTAGACAATGTGCACCTCCCGACATAATGCAATAGGAAGTACACACCACTACCTATGAAGTCTTATTGCTGGAATAATGAATTGAAGGCATCAGAGGAATAGATGAAAAAAGTGCTGTCATCCCTCAGTTTCTGTTGGGGATTGGTTCCAAGACCCCCCCACTGATAGCAAACTCCATGAATGCTCAAGTTTCTTATATGAAATGGTAGAGTATGTATTTACATATACCTTATGCACATCCTCCTGTATACTTTAAATCATCTGTAGATTACTTATATCTAATACAATGTAAATGTTATGTAAATAGTTGTACTGTATTTTTTATTTGCATTTTTTGAGTATTTTCAATTTGCAGTTGATTGAATTTGCAGATATGGAGGGCCAACTGTAAATGGCACCACAAGGAAGAGGCCAATCAGATCCAGAGTATATAAAATTCTACGGAACAAATAACTAGTGTTTTTCAACTAATGAGTGGCATGAAAAAGAGAAGAGGAAGGACAACCATTACAGATTACAAGAGACTTGAGAGACCTATAAACCAAACTCTGCATGTAGGCATTACTTGGACCTGATTTAAACAAAACTTAAGAAGACATTTTGGAGATGGGAATTGTGGACAGAGATTGACTATTAAATATCATTTGGAAATATTAATCGTGTTGAGGTGATAATGGCAATGTGTTTATAAAAAATTTAAAAAATCTTATGGGTTAGGCATACACACGTATGAAATGATAAGGTATATCATATTTGCATAAAATATTCTGGCAAAAGAGAAGAATTGGCAAAGAGAACTAGAAACTAGATAGGTAAAAATGTCAATAATTATTGAAGTGGAGTGATTTGTTTATAGGAGTTCACTGTTCTAATATTTCTACTTTTGTATGTGTTTGAAATTTCAGTAATAAAACATTTAAAGTCAAAACCAAAATTATAGATTCTGATACTTAGAAATGGGCCCCTGTATATCTAACCTTGTCAGATGTCACCAAAGTTGTATTCAGTAAGAAGTTAATACCCTGTAATGTACTAAGGAAATTTTACCTGTGGATCCAGTCTTCATCTTCTTCACTTATGTACAGTGCCACACAAGGTCTATTTCATAGATGAATGTGTTGAGGCATGAATAAGCATTTCTGGCGAGACAGAAAAATAGGCTGGGTGTAGTGGCTCATGCCTATAATACCAGCACTCTGGCAGGTCAAGGCAGGTGGATTGCCTGAGCTCAGGAGTTTGAGACCAGCCTGAGCAAGAGCAAGACACCATCTCTAAGAAAAAGAGAACAGTGGGGCATTGTGGCTGGCACCAGAAGTCCCAGGTACTTGGGAGGCTGAGGCAGGAGGATCCCCTGAGCCCAAGAGTTTGCGGTTGCTATGAGCTATGATGCCACAGCACTTTATTGAAGACACCCAAATGAGACTGGGGGGGGGGGAGGTTGTGCCCATAGCTCAGTGGGTAGGGTACCAGCCACATACACCAAGGCTGGCAGGTTCAAACCCAGCCTGGGCCTGCTAAAACAACAATGACAACTGCAACAACAATAAAAAAACAGCCAGGCGTTGTGGTGGGCACCTATAGTCCCAGCTACTTGGGAAGCTGAGGCAAGAGAATCACTTAAGTTCAAGAGTTTGAGGTTGCTGTGAGCTGTGATGCCATAGTTTGAGGTTGCTGTGAGCTGTGATGCCATAGCACTCTACCTGGGGTAACAGCTTGAGATTCTGTCTCAAAAAAAAAAAAAATGGCTTGGCGCCTGTGGCTCAAGTGGCTAAGGCACCAGCCACGTACACCCAAGGTGGCGGGTTCGAATC